ATCTCCTGCCATGGGAGAAATGCCTCTGTGCTGTATGTGTGTTTCACATATCCCTGGGGACCAAAGAGGATGGGAAGGTGAAGAATCAGGGAATACACCACCAGCTGCTTCACAAAATTCCACAAATTCAATTCAACAAATGTTTAAAATGCCAAGTATTATACAACACTTGGATCACATACAATGTCAATGAATGTTTTGTTACCAATAAATCAATTTCAGGCTTCAAAAACCAAAGAGAGTAAGAAACAACAAAAACACCTTACACTTTAAAAAATAATAATCATCTTTGGATACCAATCATTTAAGTGGTTGATTTAACAATCTTAGAGCAACAAAAAGATACAACTTTCAACCCAGAAACTTTACAAACTCTTTTACACACATCTCCTCTCCCTACAATTATTTCAATGAGCACAAAAGACACACCACTTTAGGAATAACTACGAAATTCAGGGAGGATAGCTTACTCACTAGCTCTATGCAACAAATGAATTATAAAAACTGTACGATAGCATAGTACCACCAATGAAGCACTACTGATCATGAAAGTACAAATAATTCTATTTTAAAATAAAAGCTTTAAGCAAACCTTTCATGATGAGTATTTTCAATACAATTCAAGCCTTACAAGTAAGGCTACATTTTAAAGAAACCGAATTGTCACACCTCCACCCTTGAAAGTTATCCACTTGTCAGATGAAGTGTTAATTCTCTATACCCAATGAAGACTGATAGGTTAACAAATGAGACATGCTTGAATAAGAGAATAAAGAATCATTATCATATTATTTCATATCAACTTAAATGCAAATATGACTATTTGCAACCAGAATATTTAGAACACTTTCTGTATTGTCTGCTTATTTGCCAGTCTTGGTTCTTTACATTTTTAAAGGCGGCATGATAAAAATAGAACCATCACATTTCACCAGGAATACCACTTTGGACTAGAGGATAATATCACCTCATTACCAGCAAATATAGCATATTTTCTGAATGCTTTTAACCAAGTGAAAAATTCAAGTGTAAATGAAATTCAGCATCGATTCATGGAAAGTGATATGAATTGCAAAACAGAATATCCAAGCTCTCTATTCTCAGCTCTGCCAAGGACTGAAAAACCACAAGTGAGAGTCAAACCTCTCTGTGCATTAGTTTCTCCATCTGAAAAGAGGACTGACATCGACTCCTCCCTAATCATGTTTTTGAAAGCACAAATGAGATAATTTATGTGAAAACCCTTTAAGATTTTTGAAGATAATAAAACCTAACATATTAATAGATGTTATCAAACCAGTTATGAAGGAAAAGACAGAATGCACTTTACACCAAAAAAACAGATATAAAATTTAATATAAAAAAATAAAGTTAAATCTTTTGTTCTTAAAATTAAAAGGGCTGTTCAAGCATACACTAGGTCACATGTTCATACCACGTTACTCAATACTGCTGTAATTATAGTAATAAGAGCCTGCTCGTCAATATTACAGCTTAATGTTGAACCACCCCTTCTTGGTTTCCACGTAGGAAACCATGTAAGGTTTGATCATTTCCAGAAGAGAAAAAGAGAAGAAATATGAGAGAGGCAAGGAGAGTGTTCTCCTGAGCAATCCCAAGAAGTCACACATAAAATATCTTGCCCAAGATTCACTAGGCACAGTGGGTGTGCTCTCCATTCTGCCAACATCCTTTCCCACTATTACAATTTGAACTGAAATAGCTAGACTACTAAATCTAAAAGGTGATAGAAAAGAGTCAAAAAATATAAAAAATATAGTTTAATACTGCCCTTGATCAACGACTCAGACTCCCCAGGGAGTCCAAATCACAAGCTCATTAATGTTTTGAAGTCCATAACTTACGTCAAGCAATTACTCTTTCAGGTAAAATTTATGACTGATTTTAAAAGGAAATTAAACGTTAATGTACTTAACATACTTAAGACAAAACTTCAGATAAAGCCTTTTAAATTTCTTCACATTTTATATCAGCTAAGAAAACGGTTGCTTGATAGGTGCAATAACAATTTCCAAACTAAGTTTTCATTAACAACTCTGGTAATTAGATAGTACCTTTTGTCCAAAGTCTTCTAGTTCATTACTTTAATTTTACTTTACCCAAAGAAATATTTAAATATTCAGGGAACAACAAACGGCTTTCACAGCCTTTTAAGAATAACTTGAATCAAGTTATAAATACTAAAATTTAATTGAAAGGCGACCCTCACAAGAATGAAGGTTCTCTGCTGGACAAGAACTTCTCAAAAAAAAAACAGCTGCCTAGATAAACTAGACAGACAGCAGATAACAAGCTCAATTTAAATATAGGAAAATATGCAGAAGGATTCAAAGGCAACTTCCTACTCTGTCCCTAACTCCAACTACACTATAAACAAAAAGACACGCAGCAATAAATTTAAAAGTATGTTATATGTAAAACTATAAAAACAAACGTGGTCAACAACACCCTCTTAAAGGGCGTCATCTAGAACAAACACTAATTGTCTTCTTCCTGAGGAAAAGAATTACTATCAAAAGGTAACACTTGCCTGTTGGGTGTCCTACATTCCATTGCAGCATAGGATTAATTTCTAGGAATCTCCTCCAGCTTGGTGCAAACCTTCATTACATGTGAAGTCCTGACAATGTTCCCATAATTAGTGAGACCACCTTACAACAAGGCCCTTTTGTTTATCAATAACTAAACTTCCTTGCAAAAGTGCAGGTGGACTCACTATATGCTAAATTTTGTTCTATGGCATTATCGATATTACGATTATCAACAGAGATATTTGGTATATCAACCTAGGCTTAAAATAAACTCAACTTTGTATACAAACCAAAATAAGTGATTGGACATCTGTATAACAATCAGGCATCTTCCTTGTAGGACACCTGTACTCTGGCTTCATATTCAAGAATAGGTCAGATACTATGTGTGGCTTTCCCATTTTATTAGTTATTTTTATGAGCGTGCACACAGAGGCATATATGTATTGATGCTGTGCATATAGAAATAAATAAATTTGAAATGAAGTAACAATTAATGCTTTTCATAAACAAAAAGATTAAAATAACCACATCAGATATTTAAGATTTAACCAGAAAGATAATTTGTCCCATTTTTATCGAGATAGGTTTAAAAAAAATTGTATATCATACACAGAATATTTTAGACACACTAGAAGAGACAACTGAGGGGAATCAAAGATACACATTTCATGACTATGACACCTAAAACCTTTCCCATGGACATTTCTCATGATCAACATATCCAATCATGAGGAAACCAAGGGATGCAGAGCTCTTTCCATATGAAATATGTTCAATACTGTTTAACATATCCCTTGCTTTATATATACTTCCCTGAATGCAATTAGTTTGGTTACAAGGGCATTTAACATTCTCATGGTAACAAAATATTCTGATTCCAAGTGTGATTACCATTTAATGCTTTTGTAAAATAATAGTATTTTCCAAATTACATGAGCTACAGGAGAAAAGGACATAGGTGTTGCTCTTACATTAAAAAAAAAAAAATCACCCATTTTCTAGGCCATAAACTTTTAAAGTCATGTCATTCACTTGGTACATTATCTTCAGATACTGCAAAAGCTATCGTATTATGATACAGTTTTCTTTATAAGGTAAAAATCCACCAGAAATCCACTTGAATTACAGAAAAACTTCAATGAAACTTAAAAGAACATCTCACCAGGAATTCTACTGGTCTTGCATATTTCATTGTGAGAGTAAAGATTTCTTCATTCAAACTGACTAAACTGCCACTAAGACACAAGTTGTACCAAAAACATTAAATTAGAAGGAATAGCTACAGATTAATGATGTAACAAGTATGATTATTTTTCCACCATCACCTACAACCTAGAATAGTAAAGCTGGAGAAGATATAACTCGTCTGATTTAATTTTGCTATACTAACTTCATTTTAAATAAAATTCCTTATCATTAAGAAGATAATTCTTCAAACCAGAGCAGGAAAAGGATGCAAACAATTTATAACGCTCAAATATAACAACCAGCTTCTACAGCTCCCTAATTTAGTATCTGTCAAGTCTTTAACCAAAAGAGAAACATTAGTCACCTCTAGTCAAGAATTTGATCTATGTCAACTATATCTCAATAAAGCTGGAATAAATAAATAATAGAAAAACAAAAAAGGATTTTAATCTAGAACTGAAAAAAGAATGAGAAGGACTTCACATCTCAAGAGACAGTAACCACTTAAAGTCTTAGTGTGATCCCTATTCCTAGTCACATTGCAATGGTCAGTTCTGGCTATAAAGGCTGAAAATAAGAAATGAGAAAGAAATAGGCAAAATCACTTTCAATGCAAGAATGAAACTTGCAGAGGAGATTGAAATAAAGCAAAAAAGAGCTGGGGAAAAGTATCACTAAAAAGGATCATATTTGTTAGGTTTCTAACGAGGACTAAACGGGCAAATAAGACTGACAGAGAGCTGAACGAGGGCACCGGGTGACAAGGAACGAGCTGCTGGGGGGTATGTTACAGCTGGAATAGCAACTGCGGACAGGCCAATGTAGGGAGACAGTTGTAGGGCGTTTTTGTTGGTCATTTCCCTCTGTCGGTACTATGTGAACACGGTAGTTTACCTGAAAATCCCAGACTGCCTCAAACCCAACATGCCCATGAGGACAGGCCCAAAGGCAGCACCTTCATTGTTGAATGGACCACTGCCTCTTCCAGTCTATGCTTCCCCTACTTCCTGGTGCTTCTGCCACCTCCTCCACCTCACTTCCCAACCTCTGAGCCCTCAAGATTGACACAACTCGCGGATTCTAAAATTGCTCAACTTAGTATTGCACAGACTTGTACGCGAAAGCTGTACAGAAGTAACAAAGACTCCGGAGGACCTGCGCTTACTCTTGGGTTGGGCCACCAGACGGCCAATTTGCCTCATTTCTGGGGACCTGAGTGTTGACACCCACCCCCTAAGGCGCAGGGGAGCTCCTTACCTGCATAGAAGCGGATGAGGCAGCCGATCTCCGAGTCCATGCCTTCCTCCTGCACCCTCCACAGCTCCCCAAACCCCAGCTGGAAGAGGTAGTCATTTTGGATCTGCAATGGCTTCTCGTCCGCCTCCAGGCGCCGGGTGGTCTCTCCGTGGAGCTGCACATAGAGGGTAGGCGGCGGCGGCGCCTTCTCCGCGGTGGCCCCGGTCCCACCCGGGGTCGACGGGGGGCGGCCAGGGGCTGCAGCTGCTGTCGCCTTCTCCTCCCGAGGCCGATCGCGGGCGGTCCCGGCGGGGCCGTCAACGCCCCTCGGGGCTTTCGGCTGCGGCGGCGGCGGGGAGGCCGTCGGGGAAGGCGGCCG